TATATATATATAGACACGCACACACTTTAATCAAAAGGGCGTTGGTCAATCCATACAAGGAAGGTTTTGAAACACACTTGACACTCTTGATTGCAATAGGTCTTCCTTGAAAGGATGGGCTACCCATGAGCATTTGGAAGATGACTTGGAGCTTTATTTCAATAAGTGTTACTTAGTGTGTGTTTAGGGCAGCTTGTGCTTGTTCAGATAAGCAGCTTATCCTTAAATGCGGCCTGTGGTTGGCCTGCGGGGTTCGACCCGCGGTCTGCCTTTAGTGTAAAAACCCAACCGCGTTTTTAGATAAGATGTCGAAACATATATTCTAAAATGTAAGGCGGCATTTTGAAAAACTGCTCGCACTTATAAGCTGCCCCAAACGGGCCCTAAACAAAACAGAAGGAAATGGTCAGTCAATGCTTACAAGGAAGGATAGTGGTCCTTCATTTTTAGCAAATATTAAATTTCTCCGAGTGAGGGTTTAAACATGTGCTTTGAATTTTGTGAAGTAGAATGATGCTAATAATACTAATCTTCGTACTTGATGCAGTGCTCTAGTATGTCATTTAGTAATTTTGTGTATGTGAGAATTTGCCGCATCATTCTAGAAGTTTTACCACATTCATAACTAATATATCTGAGATACTTAACCTATCGCACATAATTTTAGAAATAAAACACTGTCAATAAGGTAAAACTGGATAAAAATATATAACTAAAATGCATGATTGGGATTGAGGAACTGCATGGGCATAATTCTCTCAATAACAACAAATCAGTCCACCCATCCCTCCCAAATGGCTCACGGATACATTTATGGGCACTATGGGTGGCAACAAGGATGCTGAAAGATAGTAATCTCGCCAGAATCACTCATAATTACCAACTAAATTATACTCTCATCATGTCAATTGCATAACTTACTACTACTACATCTGTTTATAAATCAATTCTGCTTCTATCCAAAAAACACCATAGTAGCCATGCTTCTCTGGCCCAACAATGATGAAAACCACTAATGTTGAGTTTTGGAGCCCGGTCCGACCGCCTCCCCCCCTATCGCGAAATGTCGCGACCACTTCCTCCTCTCTTGTTCGCGAACCACTGCCGCCAACTTCCGCTGACATTTGCGAATCGCCGCACCTCCCTTCCTATTCACTATAAAAGGCATTGCACGACTTCTTTAGTTTCTACACACGGCCTTTTAATGTTCTTCTTCAGGCTTCCTCGGGATAGAGGAAGAGAAATGCAAACAGTAGTTTCTTGCGGCAGAAGGAAGAAGAAAAAAGAAGAAGAAGATTGTTCTCCCTTGGCTTTTTCTTGTTGACTTGTGACAGAAGAGAAATTATATTTATTTCGCTTGTAAGTTTATCTTCTTCGGTATATCTCGGTGTAGAGAGAGAAGAAAAGAGAGAGAAGAAAGGAAGTGAGAGATTCCTCTTGTAAGTCGAGACGATCGACTTGTGTAAATTCCTCAAGTAGTAAAATCCTCTGCAACTCCGTGAACGTAGGCAATTTGCCGAACCACGTAAATCTGTGTGTTCCGCTGTGTTACTGTTTTCTGGTATGAATTTTCTCATTCTATTTTTCGCTTCGCGCCGATCATTCTATTTTATTTTTATATACCACAACAACTGGTATTAGAACCCGTGGTTTCATATCTGAGAAAAGAATGATGACTGTAGGTGAGGTGAAAGTTTTGAGAATTGAAAATTTTGATAACACAAATTTTGGTTATTGGAGGATGCAGATAGATGACTATCTCTATGGGAAGAAACTTCATCTTCCGTTATTGAGGAAAAGACCTGAAATGATGAATGAGGCTGAATGGAATTTGTTAGATCGACAAGTTCTGGGGGTTATTCGATTGACCCTATCGAAGTTTGTTGCACACAATATCGTCAAGGAAAGGACGACTGTTGATCTCATGACAACCATATCAGGTATATATTAAGAGCCATCGGCGAATAACAATGTGTACTTGATGAAGAAATTATTTAACTTGAAGATGACGGAAGACGTTTCTGCTGCTCAATACTTAAATAATTCCAATACTATCACAAATCAATTGTCTTCTATTGAAATTGATTTTGATGATGAGATACGTGCGCTGATATTGTTGGCGTCATTGCCAAATAGTTGTGAAACAATGAATATGATAGTTAGCAGTTCTGCAGATAAATCTAAACTGAAATATGATGATATTCGCGATTTGATTTTGTTTGAGGAGGTGCGCAGGAAAGATTCTGGCGAGATCTCAGGTTCGAGCTCGGCATTGAATGTTGATTGAAGAGGGAGATCACATGACATAAACTCAAATAGAAGAAGATCGAAATCAAAGTCTGGTCAGCAGGCAACCTGCTGGAATTGTGGCAAGACTGGCTACAGAAAGAGGAACTGCAAGAATTTCAAGAATATAATCCCAAGAAGATGTAGAATGATAGCACAAATGTGGTATTTGAAGAAGTACAAGATGCACTATTGCTGGTAATTCATAGTTTTGTTGATGATGGAAGTGAAGAGGAGAGTGGGTCCTGAGCACTCATTCCTATTGTTCCACAGATAGATGGTGGAGAATCACAGAGCTATGAAGTAATCTTGCAAGATGAAAGTTCGAGCAAGTGGGAGCTGACAGAACTTCAACCATGGAAAAAGACATTACACACCAAGTGGGTGTACCGGGAGAAGACTGAGCGTGATGACAGTAAGAGGTACAAGACTAGACTTGTTGAAAAAGGGTTTCAGCAGAGGCAGAATATTGCTCATGCAATGAGCATTGTAAGCAGAGACAAGAGTAACCTAAGAAATAACTTAGAGGTGCAAGACTATGTGGGCCCTGCTGATATGTTGACTAAGGGTGTTACTATTGATGCGTAGCTTCAGTTGGTCTTATGGTGTGAATACAGAGACTTTGAGTTGCAGAGGTGAAGGATTTATGTTTGAAGAAAAATGTGACGCTGCTAGTAGAGGATATCAGTTTGAGGAAGGAGATGTTGCTCCCTATATAACGGTCTCCAAGTGGGGGATTTGTTGAGTTTTGGAGCCCGGTCCGACCGCTCCCGCTCCTCTGATCGCGAAATGTCGAGACCGCTTCCGCCTTTCTTGTTCGCGAACAGCTCCTGCCAACTTCCGCTAACGTTTGCGAATCGTTGCGCCTCCCTTCCTGCTCGCGATAAAAGGCACCGCACGACTCCTTCAGTTTCTACACATGACCTCTTGGTCCTCTTCTTCGGGCTTACTCGGGATAGAGAAAGAGAAGTGCAAGCAGTAGTTTCTTGTGGCAGAAGAAAAAAGAATGATGAAGAAAAATATTGTTCTCCATTGGTTTCTTCTTGTTAGCGTGTGGCAGAAGAGAAATTGAGTTTATTTCTCTTATAAATTTGTCTTCTTCGATGTATCTCGGTGTAGAGAGAGAAGAAGAGAGAGCAAGGAAGTGAGAGATCACTCGTGTAAGTCGAGACGATCGACTGATGTAAACTCTTCAAGTAGTAAAATCTCCTGCAACTCCATGGACGTAGATAATTTGTCGAACCACGTAAATCTGTGTGTTCCGCTGTGTTGTTATTTTCTGGTGTGAATTTTTTCGTTCCAATTTTTATATATATATATACATACCACAACTACTAATAATCACAGCACAAATCAAATTGTTAATATTGCCAACGCCAAATTTCTTTGAACTTGTAACTATAATATGCAATGAAGATGATGCAAACCTCAATCAAAGTAGCAATTACCAAAAAGCTATAATCATTTTAGTGACAATGCAATATACAAATCATTTTGCCAAAGCAGCATCGGTTCTTACTCCCAAGAAGCAATAACAGATATGTAAATTCAACAATTATTTTTTAAATGTTACAGAAGCTCAGAGACCGGAATCTCCATTCAAGAAGAGCAGCAATACTATAAATTCAATGCCACGCTACCTCAAGACTTTGTACAATAACACATTTCTTTTAATACTATGAAATGATGTTCTAGAGCTGGCCACTATACAATGAAACAGGAGAAATAAGAACAGAAACGACACCATTTTCCAAAATTTGAGATGGTATTACCAGCCATCAATCCGATCCTCTACACCGATATAGCAACAAGCTGTAGCAGCGATGATAATACTTCTTTCATAGTTGGGCGATCCTCGGCAGAGAATTTTGTGCACGACAAGGCTAGTTGCAAAACACCCACAGCCTTCTCTTCTTCAGCTTTACCTGGAAGCTCTATTCCATGGTCTACTATCCTAAGAGCACTATAAAGTCCATTAGCAAGAGCCTGTTCTACTAGATGAATCAAGGTCAGTGGCACACCATCCTCCTCTGTAATCCCTGTTGGCCTTTTCCTGGTGAAGAACTCCATCATGACTATTCCAAAGCTAAATACATCCACCTTCGTGGTCACCGTTCGCATGTAAGCAAACTCTTCAATAGCAAAACATAATCAATCAGAAACATATAAAAAAAGAATTTTTATGCTTCTATATCTTCACATGTTTATAAATTTATGAATTCAAAGCTATTCATATAGAGAAAAAAAAATAAATAAAATTACCCGGTGCCATATATCCAATGGTTCCTTGAAATGTTGATGACGTTTCTTCGGGTAAATGAACACCAAGCATGCGAGAAGTCCCAAAATCACTAACATGTGCTTCCCAATCTTTATCAAGAAGGATGTTTGAAGGCTTGAGATCACAGTGAACGATGGGGAAGTCGTATCCAGAGTGCAAATAATCTAGTCCATTCGCAATCGAGATGCAAACTCGTAACCTTTCATAGAGATTCCATCTAGATCGATTTACTTGTTGGTCATGAATGATGGTTTCCAAGTTTCCATTCTCCATGAACTCCAAGGCCAAAGCTTTAAGGCTTCCAGATTCCCAAGCATAACCCAAAATCCTTACTAGATTGCGGTGCTTCAGATGGCTCATGGTCTTCAATTCAGTGAGAAAACACTTATCAGACTCAACAGGAAACTGTAAAAGGTTCAGTTTCTTTATAGCTATAAACTGTCCAGTGCCTTCAAGCCTGCCCTTGTAGACAATGCTCAATTTGCTGCTACCAATCACATTTTCACTGCTAAATAAACCAGTAGCTGATTCTAGCTCATTTGGGGTGAACCTCTTCAAGATAGGAGGAAGTGAAGCTTGGGCTTTAAGATATAAGTCAGTTTGTGTGATAGAATTCTGCTGTTTCCTTCGTTTAGGGATCAAAAGAGACAGCACTACCATGAAGAGCAGACAGAAAGATGACAGTGTGACAACAATGATAAGTGCCTTCTTTGAGAACCTACGGCTTGTACTCTTGCAGGAAGAGAAATGCTTTGAACCACAAAGTGCAGAATTACCTAGCAAGCTGGATACATTTAGAGTTTGAAATATGCCTTGCTCTGGAACAGGACCTTCAAACTGGTTGAATGAAAGGTTCAGATGCTTTAGTTTTGAAAGGTTACCCAAACTCTCAGGAATTCCACCACTGAACTCATTATGTGAAACATCAAGAAAGGTAAGCTGTTTTAGCTCAGCTATGCTGGCTGGGAGTTCTCCATACAGATCATTATATGATATATTCAAACTTGAAAGAAGCTTTAATGATGGGAATAAACTTGCAGGTAGCGAACCAGAAAGCATATTTACAGAAAGATCGAGGTATTGTAGGTTCTTACAACCTTTGAATGCTGAAGGAATGCTCCCAGAGAGATTGTTGTTTGAAATATCTATGGATTGAACCATATCTAATGCACTGAACTCATTTGGTACAGAACCAGAAAACTTATTATGTGACAGATTGAGATTTATCTGCAAGTTTTTTAAAGCAGCCAAAACAGATCCAGGAATAGATCCAGTTAAGAGATTGTGGGACAGATCCAATGACATTAGTTGATTTAGATTGGCCATGGCTTTTGGTATGGAACCATTGAGCTTGTTACCATGGAGATTCAAGTATTGAAGTGATTGAAGATTGGAAATAGAATCAGAAATTCTACCAGAAAACTGATTGAGCTGAATCATCAGGCGGTACAGATTCTTAAATTCAAAGATTTGCTCAGGAATCGCTCCTTCAAAACCATTTGCCTCAAGAGAAAGTCCCTGGAGTGCTGATAATTTTGAAATCTCTGAGGGGATTTGACCTGATAGGTTGTTACCACCAAGTTGCAAATCCAGTAACATGCCAAGTTTGCCCATCTCAGGAGGGATGATCCCTGAAAAAGAGTTGTAGCCTAAACCCAACTTTCTTAGATTGTTTAGATTTCCAATAGCAGGGCTCAGAAATCCAGTGAGATTGTTTTGTGAAAGATCTAAAGTTGAAAGTTTGCTACAATTGAACAAATCTTCTGGAATGGATCCTGACTGCTGAAAAGAACGTGAGGTTCTCCAATTTTCCCAAACCATAAGGTATGGCACCAGTAAATCTATTGTAAGTCATACTTGCATTCACGAGATGGGTGCAGTTGGCAATGCTTGCCGGAATAGGTCCTGTGAATTGATTGGAATGAATGATTAATTTCTCCAGTTTATAGAGTGATCCCATATCTGAAGGAAGTAGCCCAGATAGCGAGTTGAGACTAAGAGCCAGATAAGAGAGGTTAGTCAAATTCAAAAATGTTGCAGGAATTTCTCCTGTCAGTTTATTTTCATGGAGAGTGAGAACTTTAAGTGAACTCAAAGAACCAAGCTCTGCAGGTATTGGTCCGGTTAGCAAATTTTCAGAAAGTCCTAAAAAGACTAAAGATTTGCAGAGCGATAGAGACGCAGGAACTGTAGAAGACAATGAATTGTCATACAACCGCAAAGCTTGTAATTTGAAGAGATTTCCAAGCTCAGAAGGAATGCTACCAGTGAGCTTATTGCTATAGATGTTCAATAGTGTGAGGTTTGTGCACCGGCCTAAGTTCGCCGGAATTGGCCCCTCAAGCTGGTTCATGAAGAATTGAAGTATGGATAAATGTGAGAAGTTGCCAATCTCAGGAGGTATAATTCCTGATAAATGATTGTCACTGAGGTCCAGTATTTTCAGATTTTTCAGTCTAACAAATGAAGGAGGGAGGGAACCTACCAAGCCATTGGTGTTAGCCTGGAAGAACTCCAGATTAACCAAATCACCAATGCAAGAAGGAATGGGACCTGTGAGCTTATTAATGTCAAAACCTAAAGCTTGTAAAGCTGTGCAGTTGCAGAGACTTTCTGGTATGCTCCCTTCTAATACATTAGAACCCAGATCCAGGACCTGAAGGTTCTTCAAATTTCCAAGCTGAGAAGGAATTAAGCCCGAGAGTAAGTTGTCATAGAGATCCAGCCCAGTAAGTTCTGAGCATTGCCCAAGCTGAGGAGGAATTGATCCATATAGTTTGTTTGAACTGATTTCAATCACTTGAAGAGTGGAGATATTGCCAAGAAATGGAGATAAGGTACCCTTGAGTTGCGTCTGAATTAGACTGATTGAAACTACAGAACTCGAGGAAGGATCACAGGAGACTCCAGTCCAATTGCAATGGTGGATAGAGCTTGTCCAATTCGCTAAAGCGCCAAGAGGATCATCGTTTATCGAGGCTTTAAAAGCCAGCAAGGCCTCAACTTGAGGATCGGAAATGGATGACTCGGCAATGAGCAGAGAAGAAAGGATGAGAATAACCAGACAGGGAAAGGATTTGCCCGGCCATTGAGCTGCCATGAATCTGAAGTAAGAATGACAGACTTGACTGACGAGATTGGCTGCATAGAAAGATGATGATTTGAACTGATTTTATAAAGAGAACATAGGATAGTACGTCATCAAAAACAAGTCAAAACAGGGCCTACGTTACTTTTTCACTATTCAGAAGCGCTCACACGATGAAAGAGACAAGATTTCATCACCCACTTGGTTGTTAGGTTCCATTTCGACAGCGATCACAGAAGCCGACTTCAAATTTACATTCCTCCTCCATTTACGGGCTAAAACAGGAAATTAACCTGTATGAACTTAGATTTTGAAGAGGAAAAAAAAACAAATTTTGATTTTTCTTTGAAACCCGTATGGGAAGAATCAAGACGAGGGAGAGAAAAATTTCAGCAGCAGGAGGCAGTAATTTTTCAATTTATGATTGTGAGAGAACTTTACTTTCCGATTTTTAACAAAATTTCAAAATCTTAGTTAAATTAAATTAGCTGTCAGCAATTATTGGTTCAAACCTCCTTCTGGAAAGAAAGCGACTAGTGGAGCTAGGGTTTGTCCCATTGAATCAATAGGTTCGGTGGAAAAATGGCCCGCCTACGTTCTCACACGGTAATGCCAAACAACAATGGCAGAGGACGAAAGGCGCGTTCGCAGAAACTACGCTCAGCCCGTGGACTGGTGGGATTACCGAAAACTGGAAATTTATAAAAAATAGGGATATCATTTAACCTGTAAGCGTGAATATATATATATATATATATTATATATATATATATATATGTATATATGTATAGGGAAGGAGCATTATGCGGCTACAAATCTATTGATAAAATGTGAAATAATAAAAGGAGGGAGGAGGCACCCCTGAAAACTAAAAAAACCAAAATACAAATTTCTCAACTTAGAGGAGTGCATCTCCGTCAGTACAACACACCACAAAAATCTCCAAACTGTTAAATACAAGTATACCCCAAAAATCAAGTTAGAAAAATTAATCCAAAAAAAAATTAGAGACAAAAGAAATATTGGTGAATCGAGAGCTTTGAACCAGCAACGTCTTCATATTTCAAGTGCAAATCTCTAGGACAACAAAACAATACAAAGGCTGAAATCCCGATATAAAATAACCAGTTGTGCAAAGCAGTTGAAGCGCGAAATAAAAAGAGTAGAGCCTTAATGTAGATATTATATATAGCATCATTAGGAGAATACCATCACCTGCAGTTTTGAGTAAGCACCAACAAAGAAAGTAACCATTAAAAACATCATTTTTAAAGAAAGCAGAATATAGAAACCAAATGTAACTATCTGCTTTACGGAAGCAACAACAAGGAGACCGGAAGGCCTCCAATGTTGAGGAAAATACAATTTCGAGGAGCGACCAACTCTAACCAGATCATCACGCAAGAAACCCGTCCAGCAAATTCTTATATAAGAAGGGAGTAAACACCAACAAGGTAATCTGAATGCCTCAATGAGAATAATAAAAACCTTCAGATTCAGGCAAGCTTCAGCAAGAAACCCCACGTGTCTCTCACAAATATAGATAGAACCATAAAAATCATCATTGCTGAGAGAAACATGACAGAAAATCCAAAACCATAACACAAAATCAAAATATGGGGGTGCAACCAACGCTATGTTTAACTTCATGAAAGAAAACAATCCAGCTAAACCAATATAAAATGGAGATCCCTTCAGAGAGCAAAGAAAAAATAAACCAAAACCTGAGCTAAAACTAGACAATGATATACGATATATCAAGTAAATCACCATTTAAAAGTCTGCTTAAATGCTGCGAGGAAGTAGCATCAAATAGCAAGTTAACAACATCTTTACCTTTTCAAGCCAACCAATTCACAGGATAATTACCTTCTCTTTAATAAAAGACATATGCATAGTAATATGATGCTTATTAATGAGATCCTTAATCATGTTTAATGTAACAAGTATTTCCATTTGGATCTCAAAAACCTAGTAAACTCATCATAAAGGAACGAGCTACCAAGTCATTTTTAGTTGTTTGATAGAGGTTAGGTTAAATCATGCTTAAATACTACACAAAATTCTACTAAACAACCGGAAGGGATTTATGACAAAATGGAGGAGAAATGAGAATTAAGATATTGTAGGGATTATAGTCAAAAAGTTAATAGTTGCAATTAAATTTGTAAAATTATTTATTTATTTTTTTTAATGTAAATCTAGATACTCAGATAAATTTTCAGTTTGTTTAAATACTTGTTTACTTCTCATAAGCAAATTAAGTGCAAATCAAATTTAAACATTCAAAAACTTAAACAAATCAAGTTTGAACAATATATGAAAGCTCGATACAAGCTCGAGTCGAACATGAACAATTTATAATTATACCAAGCCAACTTCGAACTATGATATACTTGACTCGATTACAACTCTAAGCATACCCTTCAAATAAGTAAACAAAAAAAGTTAGAGTTTTGATTTAAGAATGAGCATTTAGACAAACTATCCAATTTCTTAAACTTCTGGCATAATTTTAAAACCCTTCCATATTTTTGGTACCTAGATGTCCTATCATAAATATTTTTGCGATACATATCTAGCACTTAAAAGTTTAATATTTACATTTATAACAGTTTGCTTTCATAGAAGAAAAGACGTATCTTTATTTAATGAAATTTTATAATAGTTGTATTTTCTAATTTGCTTCTAAGAATTTGACGGTTATGCATGTAAATATTAAAACTTAGAAGTTGGATATGTAAATACATAATAATTTTGTGACATGCATGTAAATGACTCCATTTTTTCCCTTAAATTTCTTCAATTTTATGGTTAGTGTAATATAGTTTTTATATAGCTTAATAACTTTGAAGCTTTTATATTCTATAAAGGAATAACTTGAACACAACTTTTATTCTCCAAAAGATGAGAACTTTGAACTTGAAAACAAAAAAAAAAAGTTAGTGCGGATATTATGAGGTTTTACTATGTGCTAGAAAGAGAAATCTTTTGTCTTAGAAAAAAAATAGGAGTACAAAGTGATGTTGGAAACTACAATAATATTAATTGACTATAAAAATTGTAGTTGATTTATATAATAGTGTTAATTGCTCGTGGCAAAGTATGGTGGTGGACGATAAGAACCTTTGGTCACTAGTGGCAAGTTGGCGACAAGCTTTGATGGTTGGTGGCAAATTTTGGTGATCCTTGACAACCTCCAAAATGCCCCCTCCCAAAACACTCAATTGAATAGACATTATTAGATTCCATATATATATATATATATAACATTTGAGTGAACAATATAAAATTGAATGATTTTCATTTCATAGGATTCCTTTTTGTCGAACCGCTCGATTTAATTATAAGCATATAGAATTTTGAAATATTTGACCTTCCAATTGATGCATCATATTTTTTCAACCATCAAGTGCCATAATCTTATGCTCGTCAGTTTTCTCTTATCAAACTACTTGATTTGATTATAAACATGCCGAATTTTAATATCGTTTGACACTCCGATTGATGCATCAAAACATTTAATCATACTTAAGTGCGATCTAGGTTTATTTAGACTCAGCATCGTTGGATTCAACTTTTCGAGATGATTAATTTGACTATAACATAAAATCGTGGTTAAAATGATCTTAAACTTGAATTAAGAATATTTTTTTACTTAAAATACGTTGAGATTTGAGTCTGATGATAAAAATTTATTTATGACACGTATAATTTCTTATTTTTTAATAGGGATAAATATTATCAATCATACGTTTTTTCCAAAAAAAAAAAAAGAAAATGTCTCATTTGTTGTATCATTATTACGACCTTCAAATTTCATGTAAATATTTTCAAATTTTAATATTTTCTTTTCAAAACTTATATGAAAAGCCGTCGTGCATAATTGACTGAAGATTTAAAGCCTTGCCATGTTGACTTGGAGATTTGGTCAAAGTCAACAATTAAATTGATAAAAATGTAAAGGAAAGTCGTTTAAGATGATTGCACGCGCAAACAAGATTCAATAGGAATGAGTGAAGTTAGATATTTTATTTATTTATTTTATTTTTAGTGGACATTTGATAAATTATATGGAAACTAAGTTTTAATAAAAGTAAAAAAAAATTCTTCCTCTTCTTATTATTATTTAAAGATATTAAATAATAAATATTAAAATTTAGAACACAAATTCATTTGGAAATATAACTACCTTCTTGATTGCAATAATATTTCGGATATAACAGTCATAGTTCGGGTACAACAAATGTGATTTGTGGATGTAATAACAATAAATAGGAACGAAGGTCATAATTAATTGCTAGGAAGGTAATTGTTGGTCATAAAAATTATAGTCGGTGGTTGCAAGAGCTGCAGTTGGCCACAAAGGCTGTTAGCGTTGAAGACCGCGTCGTGAATCGATGCCAACTCCCGATCTCGCTCCCGCTTCCCGTTCCCACGCCCGATCGTGAAAGGTCGAGACCGCGACCCTGTGGTTTCGCGAAAACTGCCGCTCCCGCCTCCATTTCACGTAACGTCGTCAACCCCATCTCCTCTCTCGCGATAAAAGGTAACGCGCGGCTCTCCTTTCAGTTTAAGAGAAGTCACGCTGTTCTTCTTTGATTTTCCTCAGGATAGAAGGAAGAGAAGTGCAAGAAATAGTTCCTTGCGGTGAAAGAAGAAGAAAATTGTTCTCCCTTGGCTTATTTATGGTGGCTTGTGGCAAAAGAGAAATCCGATTTATTTCTTTTGTAAGTTTATCTTTTTCGGTATATCTCGGTGTAGAGAGAGAAGAAAAGAGGGAGAAGAAGAGAGAAGAAAGAAGTGAGAGATTCCTCTTGTAAGTCGAGGTGATCGACTAGTATAAATTAAATTCCTCAGTATAAATTCCTCAAGAAGTAAAATCCTCTGCAACTCCGTGGACGTAGACAATTTGCCGAACCACGTAAATTTGTGTGTTCTGCTGTGTTACTATTTTTCTAGTGTGAATTTTCTCATTCTATTTTTCACTTCGTCGATCGTTCTCTTGTTTGTTTGCTTTATATATATACCACATCAACTTGTGGTGTATATCTCACAACAACAAAGGTTGTAGGCCATTATTATAATGGCGAAAACCGGCCATAAAAGCCTTAATTAGAAGTTGTAATAGCGTAAGTCGACCGCAAAAGTCATAGTTAGTGACTGCAATGACGTTAGTTTGTCACAATTGTAGAAGTTGGAAACTTGGAAGTAAATGACCACATAGGTTTTAGTGGGTAGCTACAAAAATGTCAGTTGGCCACAGAGGCTGTAGTGGAAGGTTGCAGTAGTCACTTTGTACATGATAGATGTAAGAGTGTAAGTTAGTCATAGAGGTCGTAGTGGAAAGCTATAATAGAAACTGGATACATAGATCGTAGTCGGTAACAATAGTAGCAATTAGCTATATATGTCAGAATTGGTCACACAGATCATAGTTAGTAATTGTACTAGTGTTAATTAACCACATAAACTCTAGTTAGAGGCTGCAGTAGCTCTTAGCTACATAGATCGTACTTAGTAGTTGTAGTAGTGACAGTTGGTCATAGAGATCATAGTTAGAAACTGCAGTAATAGTCGGCTACATATGCCGTAATTGGTTCGTGCAAAACATCAATAGAGGTTATAGTTAGAAGCTATAATAACAGTTAGTCATATAAG